GCAGGGTCAGAAGGCAGGCACCCTCACGGTGTTGGCAGCTAGCAGCTGGGCCAGAGCACAGCCTGGGGTATTTCCTTATGGGTAGGAGACTCTGCTGGGCATAGGGAATATAGGGTGCAAATGTTCCCAGAGACTGACTTGAGGAGCAAGCAGCCCTGGCTGGGCACATGGGGGATCCAACACCATAACTGCACAGTGGCCCCTACTTTCCTATAAGGCTATTCTCTCAGCCTGGAAAACTCTTTTCAAGGTCCCTGATTCTTCCACCAGGCTATGGTCTGACCCCCTGTGGACCCCAAACTGGCTTTTTCCTAACAGCTCATACATACAGTCAACCATCAAAAACCAATAAATCTCCTTTGCACCTCAAGGCCTTTGCACTGGGTGGTTGCTTGGTCTGGAACACTATTCCCCTACAGTCTCACATGGCTCCCTCCTTCCCCTCCTTTAAGTCTGCTCACATGTCACTTTTTCATTAACAACTCAACCTGCCCCCCATCTTCTCAACTTCCAATCCTCCTTATCATACTCCGTGTTTTTCCCAAAGCAGCCACCACCTTCTAGCATGTCACCTGGTTTAATTTCCTATTGATGATTGTCCCCCTTCTACTCCTGAGTGTCAGCTCCAAGAGGCAGAGATTTTTGTCTTCTTTTGTTCCTGTTAGTTTCCAGTACCTAGAACAGTTCCTGCCATGTAGCACATGCTCAATAAATATTTGCTGGATGAATGAATAAGCAAATGGCAAACACTGAAATTATACTGATCTCATTTCTGCAGTGAATTTTTGCAGTTTGGAGCCCACATAAATATGCACGAGTGGGGGTATTAAACATTCTCCTAGACAGGGGATGCTGTGCATCATCCCAGGAATAAGGCTCAATTCCCCAAGCACGGGGCTGGCTCCAAGCAGATGTTGAAAATGTCTACTGGGCATATGCACAGTGAGATAGAGAAGAACGTGGGAGAAGGAAGTTGGCTAGCATGAGCCCTCATTACAGCCTCCCTTGACCTCAAGTCCGTGCCTTCGTCCTGATTTTACCCCTGCCCCCAGTATCCCTGCTGGACCCCGCTCAATACCCTCACTCATCACCCTCCCTCTAGGTCTACCCCTCCCTAACCCACCTCTTCCCAGAAGCTGGAGGGATCTTCTCAAAGCACAAATTGGATCTCTGGTTCTGCAGGGCTCCCTGCTGCCCTTCGGGCAAAGTCTAGCTTCCTGTGTAGGACACCAAGTCTGTGCAGGCCCTCGTGGAACTTTGATTTCTCTACAACTTTCCTCTCATGCTATACTCCAGCCTGGCCAATTTTTTTTTTTTTTTTTGTCCAATTCAGTGAGTAAAAGTATTCTCTCACCTCTGGGATTTTGCACATGTTTTTCCCTCCAGAAGATTCTCACACCTCACCTTCCCCCTCCTTTCCACTTAACCTTCAGATTCCAATTCAATCGCCCCCCCCCCCTTCCAGGAAGCCCTCCCTGATTTCTTGCCCTGGGTTAGGTCACCCCCATAACATATGTATCCCCATACCTCTGTGTTTGCTTCTTTCATTCATTCATTAATTTAACACATAGTTGTCCTAAAAGGTATATAATGATCAGGCTCTTTATGATCCCATCTCCCTTTTTCCCTCTCACCCTCTGCTCCAGACACTTGAGCCTCCTTGCTATCCCTTAAACACACCAAGCATGCTCCTGCCCAGAGCCTCTTCACTTTTCCTCTAGGTATCTGCATGGTGCTCCTTCCCTTCCTTTAGGTCTCTGTTCAAATGTCACCTCCTCAGAGAGGCCTTCCCTGACATCCCCACCTCTCCATCTAGTGAAGCACTACCTACCATTCTCCATCCATCTATGTACCCTGCCTCATTTCTCCACATCATTTGTCCCTACCTGACATTAGATTATGTTTTTACCTGTTTGTTGTCTGTCCCTCTTGGAGCTAGGAGGACAGGGACCTCATCTGTCTTGTTCACTGCTGTACTGCCAGCATTTTACACAGCATCTGGCCCACAGCAGGTCTTACTAAAGATTTGGTGAATACAATATAGGTAGGTCACAGGGAATGTAGTATATAGCATGGAGAAGACAATGACTCTAGCATTACTACACTAATGGACATTGATTGCAATGGGGTGGGAGGGGACTTGATAATATGGGTGAATGCTGAAACCGCAATCTTGTGTATGTGAAACCTTCTTAAGGTTGTATATCAATGATGCCTTAATTTAAAAAAAAGATTTGGTGAATAAATGAATGGGGCAATATAGGTCAACATGACTGGAGGTAAAGGATGGGGACTCCAACCCCTGATACTATGGTACTCTGAAGGTGTCCATCTTGGACAGTTTTGCAGGCTGAGTCTCAGAGCAAGGAGAACTGAAGAGGCCTGCAGAGGCCTCACTCTCTGGAGACAGCTTGTACCAGGAAGCAGGTGTAGCCAGTGGAAAGGCCCTGTGGCCGATAACAGTGGGAGATGTCAGGACATGGACCTGGTGAGCCAGCAGGGCCCAGAGCAGCAGAGATCTGAATCCCAGGTGAGGATGTGGACATCATCCCACCACTTCACAGTTAAGTACAACAGACGGGGGAGGCCACAAGTGTTTCTGCAGTGTCTCCTGTCTGTCAGGTCCCCTACCTCTCACTGTGCTCACTCTGAACTTTACACCAAGCCTATGAAGCATTATTTTTCCCATTTCACAGAAGAAAAATGGACCAATGTAGGTGCAGAAACACAGCTGTGAGACTCCAAGCTTCAGGTGCCGGGCTCCTTCCATTGTCCATCATTGCCCTTAACCTTACCCACCGTCTTAGGCATATAATTCCACCCCTTCCCTCCTTTCTGGCTTGGCTCTAACTTGTTGACCAAAATCGCATGTCATTCCCTAGGTCAGAAAAATGACTCAAAGCCCATACGACATCTCTACTTGGGATATTCAACATGCATCTCACACATTTACGCCCAAAACAAAACTCCTGGTCTCTCACCTCACCAAACCTGGTCCCACCCTGTTCTTCCCCAACTCAGTCAATGGTACCTCCATCCTTCCAATGGCTCATGCCAGAAACCTGACAGTCACCCTTGGCTTTTCTTTCCCTTACCCCTACATCCCATCAAACAGCAAATCTTGGCCACTCCACCTTCAAAACACCCAGAATTGACCACTCCTCCCACCTCCACAGTCACCCTGGTGGGACCCTCCATCCCTCCTACCTGGACGCTGCAGTCACTTTCTCCCTGGTCTCCTGCTTCCACAATGGTCCCTGAGTCCATTCCCCACATGCAGCCAGAGGGATCCTATTAAAATGTAAAGTCAGGTGACTATACAATTCTTTATCAGAACTGTCCAGTAGAACTTTCTGCGATGGTGGAAATACTCCGTATCTGCACTATCCAATTCATTAGCCACCAGCCACATGTGATTATTGAGCTCTTTGAAATGTGCGTAGTGTAACTGAACTGAATTTTTTATATAAATTCCTTAATAGCCGCACTGTTAGCAAGGCTGTGGAAAAGAGGCACTCTTGAACACAGCTGGTGGGAGCATAAATTACTATATAATCAACAGCTGTACCTACCTATCTACTGATTGATTGTCTATATCTACCAAAATAATAAAAGCATTTAACATTTGTCACAGCAAAGAGTGTGTCCTATTGATCTAGCTTCCCATGGAAAAATGACATTACATAAAAGGTTCATAACATCCAAAGACAGGAAATAACCTGTGCCCATCAATAGGCAACTAGCTAAATGAATTATGGTCCAGCCACACAATGGGATATGATGAAGTTGTAAAAAAAAAGAAAAAGAAGAAGAATGAGGAAATGATACCTAGTGGACAAAGAGAAAAATAATAACAAATTTGTGCCTCAAATGACACTATCAAGAAAAACTAAGACAACCAACAGCAGGAGGGAAAAGTATTTGCAAATCATATATATATATATATATATGGTTGGTAAGGGTTTAATGTCCAGAATATATAAAGAACTCTTATAATTCAACAATAAATAGACAACCCAATTTTTAAACGTGCAAAGAATTTGAATACAAGCATTTGGCTGAGCCTTAATTCATTCAGCAATTTGCTGAGCTTCTAACCATGTGCCCTACCCTGATTCAGGCACGGGGATTCAGCTGTGAACAAAACAAGTCTCTGCTCTCAGGAGTTTGTTCTCTGGTGGGAGAGTCATGCAAGTTCATTGCCCACAAGCACAGTGAAGACAAAACAGGATGACGTCACAGTGCCTGGAGGAGGGGGCCACTGTGAGCAGGTGGTCAGGAGGGGCCTCTGAAGAGGCAACATTATTGGTTATTAAGACAATAAAATGCTAGCTCTTGGCCCGGCGCCTAACCGATATTAAGCGCTCACCAAGTCTTACAGTGACTCTTAGGGTCATTCTCATCAGTTTACTGTCCTCTGCCTTAGGAGAACAGGCGCTCCTGGGGGTCAGGCTCCATGTTTTTCTACGGGGGCACACGCAAAGCGGGCACACAGGTGTACGGTCGGTCCTCATAGCTTCTGCCCGCGATAGGGCTCCACAGGCTAGCCCAGCATAAATCGGCCCCAGCTAGGAAGCACTGTTCAAAGTGTCCACCAAGCTCTGTGTCTCTGGTCCCGGCCCAGAGCCCTTCACTCGCGTTCCTTGCACACAGTAGGCTCTTGGTGGTGCGTAATGAAGAAATGCCCGTCTCTAGGTCCGGCAGCGGACGACCTCAGTCCCTGGCACAGGCACCTAACCAGGCCTGAGGTGGACGGCGACGCGGACCGAGTTTTCCGGATGCAGGAGCCAGAGCCGGAGCCGGTGCCGCGAAGAAGCTGGGCGGGCAGGTACTCGCTACCGCCCTGCGCTCCCGCGCCCAGCTGTGACCCTGCCTCCGGTGCGCCGCGATTGGCCGCGGCTTGGAGGCTTCTGATTGGCTGGTGCGGCCCCAGCGCGGACCCCGATTAGCTGTGACGCACAGCCGGGAGAGGCCTCCGCTAGCGCCACCGCCCCGCCCAGCGCTGGACAGTCATTGGGCGGCGTGATCTGATCGCGGTTCCGCTCCCCTGCTGCCGCCACCAGCAGAGCGCTCCGGGCTAGCCGGGCGAAGGGCCATGGCGGGTGCAGTGGGCGAGTCGGGTCAGCAGCCGGAGCTCGACGAGGACGAGGCGGCGTATTGCAGGCGCTGGGGCGCGCAGCACGCCGGGGCCCGGGAGCTGGCCGCGCTCTACTCGCCAGGTAGGACCTCCGGGCCCCCCTCCAGGCCTGCGGTCACCAGCCAGGGCTGCGGACATCTACCCTGGGTCTCCCAGATCGGAGCCCCGATGCAGATCTCCAGCCTCGGCTTCTAACTTGCAGCTCCCCCAAGATCAGGAATCCCTCCCCCCCCTCACCCCCCACCAGAGCCCTTTCTAAGCCCAAGACAGAACTCCAGCCCCAGGGCTTCTAGACGCAGACAGTCCCCAGATCAGGGAACTGCCATATCAGCTTCCCGGACCATAAACAAAGCTCTCATCGCACTCCTAGATCCGGATCCTAGCCCCGGGGCACCCGGGGCTGCAAAGAGCGACCCTAGACTTAGGGACTTCCCCTACCTCAGCACCCGGCACAAGCTGGAGGCAGCCTCTCAGCTACATGCACTGCCCCACCTCCCTAAAAATCACATCCTGGCCCAGGTTCCCCATATCCGGAATTTAAATCCCCATCTGTGTCCCAGCCAGGGCCCTGGGCTCCAAACAGTGACCTCACCTCGAAATCTAGGCACATCAGCCGCCGTGCTCTGGGAAACTCCAGCTCACGGGCCCCAGCTACCAAGTACCCTAGACCCCACCCTTCTGCCAGTCTCATCCTAGTATAGCTTCGGTGGCTACAGACCACTGTCTCCTACACTCCTCGCCTCCTCCGCCCTCACTCCCCTCCCCATCCCATCCCCTCGCAGTGAGGAGCAACAGCCCTCTCACCCTGTGTTTCTGAGGTGAGGACATGGCATATTCTCCAGTTTAGGCCCCTCCCATACACAAGCACCAACTTCAGCCCTAGCCCCACCCCATTTGCATGTGTTAGGCTCCCCCCTTTAGAACTTGGAGTAGCGCCCCCACATTCGCCAGATTGGACCACAGTTTAGAGACCCCCATAATGCCCTCAGGCCAAAGTCCCTGGCTTCTTGCCACTGTGCCTACCTTTCATGTTCTGGCAAGCACCAGCCCCCACTCCCTTCTCTGACTTCCGCGTGAACCCCAGGAATATCGTTGCCAGGTTTCTATCCCCAGGGGTTCAGGAAGTGCCATTAAAAAACTCTTACAGAGTCAGGTGACTGGGAGTTCTAGAAGACCCCTCCATCTGGATGTTACCATCACACCAAGCTTTGTCAAACATTCTCAAGTCTTTCCTTTGGCCAAGGGATAGCCACCGTGTACAGCCTGGGTGGGCATGGATGGGTCCACTACCACCTTTGGCTGACTGGCCTGAGTTTGCATACCATCTGTCAAAACTGGCTGCGTGACCTTGGGCTGTTTGCTTTCTCTCTGAGTCTTAGATCACCAGAAGCCTTTTAGGGCTTGCAGCTCTGTGCTCAGGGTGTGATTTCCTTGAACCTGACTTGAGCACCTGGCCCAAGTTGCTATGGCTTCTTCAGCCTGTACACAAACAGCCAGCCTGTGAACTTAAAACCTTGTGTGCCCTCTGGGGCAGGCTGGACGGGGCATCTTTACTCTGCTTCTTAGTTGTGTGACATGGGCCAAGCCACTTTCTTCCTCTGAGCCTTGCTTTCTCACATCTAAAATGGGTACAAGGTAAAGTTTAACTGCTCCTGAGTGTTTTGGGGGAGAGGAAATGAAATCATCTACTTTGGTGCAGGGCCTGACATACAGTAGGTGCTCCCTACCATTGTTGATCAAATATTAACAGTGCGTCCTACGGATAACCCAATAGTCTGGCCTTTCCTGTAAGTCTTGGAGTAAGCTGCCTCACCTCATTGGTCCTCAGACTCACCACCTGAGTTAGGCTTTGCCCCCAGCAAAGGGGAGGTCACTGCCCTCTGCTTAGTTTGCCTCCTCCTTTGGTGTCCAGCTCTGTCCACTTGGATAAACCCCAGCTGGTTTAAACCAAATCATACCCAGGCATTCTGAGCTTCCCCAAGGGACCGCCGTCTCCCCGGTCCACCATGATTGCATCTCTGTCTGGTTCTGGTTTCCCCAGGTGCCCTTCAGTCTCTGAAGCACAGCTACAGGGGATCTGAGGCTGCAGACAGCTTCCCGGTGCCCCAAACCTGGCCTTACTTCCTCCTGATCTGGATTGGGGGTGGGAGGACTTATAGCGGGTTGGGGATGGAGGAGGGAGTGACTTGCCAGATTGGTTTCTCCAAAATCCACAGGCCTCCCTCTGCCTGCCTCTGTCCCTTCCCTGTGTGTCCATAGGGAAGTACCTTGACCTCTCTAGACCTAACCTATGAAATGAGGGACCAGGTTTACTACATATTGAGCACCTTAGTCCCAGTCCCTGTGCTAGGGGCAGAGCAGGGAACAAGAAAAACAGAGCTGGTATTTTAGTAAATCCAACAAACAAGAGAGATATCTCACTTGCCCAGTGGCGGCAAGCACTGTGGAACAAATAGCAGGAAAGGGAGAATTGGAATTTGGGAGCAATGACATTTTAGAGGAGGGGCAGTTTAAGGCCTCACTGAGCAGACATCTGAAGGGAAAGAGGCATGAAGTTATTCAATGAAGGGTTGGTCTAGACCAGAGACAGAGCAGGTGCAAAGACCTGGGGTGGGAGCATGCCTGAAGTATGTGCAGAACACCAGGGAGGCCTGTGGGCTGGAGCAGAATGAGTGAGGGGAGAGTGGGAGAAGTTTCTGGAATCCAGGACTGAATTCTTGTGATTCCTGGGGCCAGAGTAGGTTGGCACCATGACAGTTGACCATATAAGGAGGCAGTTGACATTTACTGAGCACTAACTGTGTACTGGGCATTTTTCTCAGCGCTCTCCTTTCATCCTTACTGCAATTGTCTGAGATGCACCCTGGTGTTAATTCTTCTGATTTACAGGGGAGGAACCTGAGGCCCCAGCAGCCTCCTCATGGCCACACCCCCACCCTCTAGTACTCTTCCTCATGCTGCACTTGTTGGAATTAGGCTTTCTTCTCCCTGACCAGAGGTGAAGGTCAACAAGGCCAGGGACTGCCTATTTGGTATGTCTAAAGTGCCTGACACTTCCTGAGCAAGACATTTCCTGAGGTTTAGCAAAGAATAACAAGCTGCCCATAGTCACACAGCTAGCCCGTAGTAGGGCTAGAACAGAACACTGGTGGGGAGCGTCCTAGGTTCCGTGTTCTTAATTTTCACCGTGCAAGTGAGCCGGCCCAGGGTGGGCGGTGCGGGAGGAGGACCAGTGGTCCAGGTCAGCAGAGCAGTGGGGTCAGTGGCAGAGAGACTGGGCCTGGCATCCGTGGGGAGCTGTGAGTCTGATCCAGGTGACGTGAGGGTAAAGGGAATGATGAGGAGCGAGGGGCGGACAGCCGTGGCCTTTTCCCCCAGGCCCTGAGTGTCTGGCCTAGGAGTTAGGGCCTGATCCTAGAGGTTCCAGCATCCATAGAGGGTCCCACAGCCCACTCCGCTCTGGGCTTGGGTTTCACAGCAGCAACCCACCCTGTACCAGGTCCCCAGTTTATAAGGGGCCTAGAGGGCTACCCTAGCCTCAGTGGGCAAGCTGCGAGGAAGGTGTCCAGCTTCCCATCAGGCACCGGCGAATCCCTGGCTGTGTGGGGGCTGCTTTCTCAGGTCCCTCCTGTTTGGTTTGCCTCCTCCTTTGGTGTCCAGCTCTGTCCACTTGGATAAACCCCAGCTGGTTTAACCAAATCGTACCCAGGCATTCTGAGCTTCCCCAAGGGACCACCGTCTCCCCGTTCCACCATGATTGCATCTCTGTCTGGTTCTGGTTTCCCCAGGTGCCCTTCAGTCTCTGAAGCACAGCACAGGGGATCTGAGGCTGCAGACAGCTTCCCGGTGCCCCAAACCTGGTCGTACTTCCTCCTGATCCGGATTGGGGGTGGGAGGATCTGTAGCGGGCTGGGGATGGAGGAGGGAGGACCCAAGGGTGGGTCCTGAGAGGTCCTAGAGCTAGTCATCCATGCACTCTGGCCATCCCCAGATGCCCCCTGCCCTGGGGGACACCGGACTCAGCATGGGGTCGGGGGAAAGGTGGAGGGGGTCAGGGGTGCTGGGAAGCGGTCCTGGCCTGTAGTCCCAGAGCTGAGCCTGGGTTCAGTCTCTCAAATGGGCCTGACTGAAGCCAGAGGGTCGGGGCCCAGGGCCCCATTCCTGGCCAGGCCTGGTCCCTGCTGTGCTCTGGGCCGAGCTGTTTCTCTGTCTCCCTAAATATTGTCCTTTTTCTGTTTCTTTGTCTCTCCTCTCTGGCCATGCTCCTCCTCCTCTTTTCCTCTTTGACTCCCTATAATGTCTCCCTGACTCTGTTCTCTCCTTCTGTCTGTTTCTCTTCTTTCTGTGTCTCTGATTCCTGCTCTGATTGTCTGTCTCTGTCTCTTCCTCTGTGTCTCTCTGGTCCCTGTCCTCTCCCTACCTCCTGTCCCTCTACCAGCCTGAGGCCGAGGGTCTCCTAGTAGCCAAGGGCCATCAGAAGTACAGGTTATTCAGGGCTTGTCTGACTAAAATGAGAAGAGTCAGGCCTGATGCCAAGCCTTTGGCTGTGGCAGAGATGGCCAAGGCCTGGCGCTTGGTCTCCCCTGTGCCTCCCAGCCCTCCACAGCCACCACACAAGCCCAGCCCACCCCCCACCCCACCCTTGGCCAGCAAGCAGTCACTGCTGGAAGAGCCCAGATCATGGGCCCTAGCCAGGCCAAGAGCTGACTCAGAAGAACAAAGCCCCAGTTCTCGAGGGCAGCCCCCACTTCTTATGTCCTGAGCAAAGCTCTCCCCCTCCCTGAGCCTTAGTCTGCCCTTCTGTAACATGACATCGTTTAGCCATCTGACCCTGCCAGGCTGACTGTCCACGCTGTGACTTGGTGACCTTTGAGCGAACTTGGACAAGTCACTTCTTTCCAGGCCTCATCTCCCCCTCTGAAGGACAGAACAGGCCAGGTGCCTCAATTCTGATTTATAAAAACACATGTGCAGGCGAGGGCTGTACAACACAGAGAAGACGAGTAGGGATTCTGCAGCATCTTACTACACTGATGGACAGTGACTGTAATGGGGTCTGTGAGGGGGACTTGGTGAAGAGGGGAGCCTAGTAAACATAATGTTCTTCATGTAATTGTAGATTAATGATACCAAAAAAAAACACGTGTGCAAAAATAAAGAGCCTTCAGTAAGCATCTGCTGCATGCCAAGCACTTTGCCCAGGATAATCTCAGTCAGCCCTGGCCATACTCTGTGGACAAGGACCATTTGCCTGGCCAGGACTGCCACCAAGAGAAGCCACACCATATGAGACCACAGGGAGGGGAAGAGACTGGGGTGAACCGGAAGCTCTTGGCCCATCTGAAGGGGACAACTCCTGCTGCTCAGGCCCAGGATGGCCAGAGCCCTGTGTTCTCAAGGAAAGCAGGAAACTAAGGATTTTATGTGATATATTTTTTTTAACTGAGCACAAAATATGCTGGAGGGAGCAGGTCTGTAGCATCTCTGATGGGCTGCACCAGGCTCCCCAGTGTGATAGGCCTCAGTGGGTGCCAGCCATTGTTATTATTTCTGGTCCCATTGCTGTCCCTGCAGGCTTGGGGGCAGGCAGGCAGGTTGGCATTAAAGAGTCACCTGTCCCTTACCCTCTCCTGCCCAGGCTTCCTGCTTCTGATCACCAGGCACAAACAGGAACCAGAAAGGGGAAGGCTCTGCTGGGCCAATGATAATGGTGACCCCAGCATGGGGGTGCTGGGGGTGGGGGGATATTGTTGGGGCAGCAGGGCCATAGGGCCCAAGAAAAGCAGCCCTGGACTAGGAAGTGGGAAGCGAGGGGCTCTAAGTCCACTTCTGCTGTTGTGTGACTATTGTTGAGTTCCTTGCCCTTTCTTTGCCTCAGGGTCCTCATTCCTACAAGAGTGGGCCAAGGAGATGTGACCCTAGGCATGTCCTTCTGCCATCTGAGCCTTGGTCTTTTCCTGGGATAAGGGGAGGGCAGCTGTTCTGATGCTGGCTCAAGGTGCAGTATGCTGTTGTGTGACCTGGACGAGGCCCTTTCTTTTTTTCTGAGCCTGTTGCCTTCTAAAGAACAATTGCACACCAAATTATTTCCTTCACAAGGTGCTGTTGTGTGGGGTGCCCAGAGACAAAGCCTGGCAGTTTCCCTTTAGGATCATAGTTGGGAATTTGTTCATTTCACAAGCTTTTATTAAGTACCAACTGTGTGCCAGGGCCCTGGTGAGCAAGCCAGACACAGTCCCAGGCCTCCTCAGTTCATCTTTGGGTAGGGGTAGAGGAAGATGGACATTATACAGGCAATTACAGTCCCTCCTTTTGGGCCTCAAGTTGGGGGAACCCAGTGGGGGGAGCAACATGGATGGCTTCCTGGAGGTGGAGGTTCTGCCAGAGCAGTGCCAGAGTCAACCAGATGCAAAGTGGGTGAAGGGAACAGCATGGCACAAAGCTCTAGAGGGAGAAGACAGACAGGAGGAACCCTCTTGATCTGCCCTGTTCCCTTTGGTTGTTAATCACTCAAAGGGGCTGCCATGTCCATGTAAGGCAGGCCTAACCCAGGATGTCCTCAGGGCCATAGGGTGGCAGGAAGGGAGGGAGGGGCCAGGGACAGCAGGAGCAGGACGGGCTTGAGTAAGCTCAGGGTTTCAGGAGCCAGACCCTCTAGCCATAGGGTCCTGGTCTCTAGGTGACTAGCTGGCCGGCCTTGGGCTACTTCCAGACCACTCTGACCCTCAATTTCTCATCTGCAAAACGGCATCACCTTCGCAGGTACCTGGCACATAGTTACTGCTCAGGAGATATTAAATGCTAATAAGAAAATTATTAAGGGTCTTCCATGCAGAGATGTCATGGACCAAATTAAACTGACTGATCCTCCTAGTGATGACACTTAGGTTATTTCCAATATTTCAACACCTCAAAGCTGCAGTGAAGGAATCGGTTTGTCCAAGCTCATGTGCCTATTAAAAATATGTGGTGGCATTTAAAGAGCAGATTTCACATTCAGGTCCTGATTTCTGGCTTCTCTCAGGAATAAGTTCCAGCCTCCAAGGCCCACACTGGCAGTAGTCAGCCCATTAGTGGCCACTCCTTTAGAAAGGGCATGTGTGCTGCAGTGTCCCTGAGTCCCCACCCAGCCCACCTTACCCCTTCACATCACTGCCTGGCCCCTCATGTACACGGCCTCTTCCCTGTGGCTTACCTGCAGGCCCCCTGCTCCTTGCAGGAACCCTAGTTAGAAGTGGTAGTCAGGCCCTGTTTCTCCTGAATTCCTGGCTCACTGCCTGGAGCCCTGCTTGTTGGAGGTTGGGCAGATCCGATCTTGCAAGATTAAAAGCTGTTGGTAGCCTCCACCTCCAAATAGTTACCTACGAAAATGGACTTGATGCCCTTTAAAAAAAGAAGCTCATTAAAGTTCCCTCGCATGACTCCAAAGACAGCCCAAAAAGACCCAGGGGACCAGAGATCTGGTCCTATCTGCCAAAGATTTGATATATGGAAGACTGCCTTCATGGGCATATGACCTGACGGAGGACTACATTCAGAAAGGCACCACACCAGGTTTAATGCAGCCATGAGCACGTGACCTTCGGCAGGCTCTCCCCTTCTCTGGGCCTCAGCGATTCCATGGTGTAATGGGTAGGTTGGGGCCTTTCAAGCCAGTCCCTAAGTTGCATCTGTGGTTCAGCACTGTGGACTCGTTGAAGAGTCCCTGGGGGTCCAGCTCTGCCTGTTTTTGACCCTCTATCCTTTGGCCCCTTCCCACGCCCCCCACACCCACTTCTCATCTCCTCTCCCTGCAGGTAAGCGCTTCCAGGAGTGGTGCTGTGTGGTCCTATGCTTCGGCCTCATCGCCTACAATTTGGTTCACCTCCTGCTGCTGGCCCGCTGGGAGCACACACCCCTCGTCATGCTGGGTGTCGGTGAGTGCCCAGGGGCCCGCTCCCTGCCTCAGTTTCTCCAAGGGTCAGGGACCTACCTGATGTCTGTGCCACCCTAATGGCAATTTCACACATGTATAATGGTGTGTGGCTGTACCTGCTCCTGGGTGAGTGTGTGTGTGCACAGGAATTGAATATGTGCTGTGGGAACCCCACCTCCCATATCACTTAGTGGCTCTGTTCTTCCTGTCACTTGGGCTAAAAACCTAGACTCATGGGATATTCCTCCCTGTTCTCCCCACCTCCACCTTTGCTCCACAGGCTGCCAGAGGGACCCCGTTATATCCTCTGAGGCCACACCACTCCCGTGCTCTCCTCTGTGTATTTGGATTAAGCCTGGCCCCAGCTCCTCCCCAGACATCATCCTGCTAGTCTGGCTCATCCTGCTCCCGCCACACTGGCCTCCTCACTATTTCTCCACCGTGTGCTCAGTTACTCTCCTACCTCAGGGTCTTTGCATGGAACTCTCTTCCTGCAGACAACTGACATGATTCACTCCCTCATGTACTCAGAGGTCACCTCCTCAGGGAAGCTGTCCCTGATTACCCCTCAAAAATGGCAGCCCTATCCTACACCATCCCTACCCACTATACAATATATTTTATATTTGTTTATTATATGTCTTCCCCCACTCAAATGTCAGCTCCTGAGAGTAGAGATTTGTCTGTTCACTGCTGTGTCCCTAGCCCCTAGCATAAGGCCTGGTACACAGTAGGTGCTCTGTAAATATTTACTGGATCAGTGAATGAATGAATGAATGAATGAGCAAGCTGTAACTTAGTACCTGCCGAGCATTTTCCAGTGGTCAGTCCTCACCCATCCACAACCTGGGAGGTAGATGCTACCCTCGTCAACATTCTCCAGATGAGGAAACTGAGACTCAGAGAAGGGACTGGCCAGTCGCACCTCAAGCCAGAAGTTCTTAACTCACTGTCTGCACTCACAGGCCCTGGGGTGACTCAGTTTCCTTCCTCCCCTTGTAATACCTCTCCCCTCTTCCCTCCAGCTCAGGCACTCATCTCCTCCCCGTTCCCAGGCCCCTAGGCTGAGGGGGCAGCTGTGCCCTTGGTCCGCCTGGCCCTGCCTAAATGTTCAGCTCCCACGATCTCATTAAAAGCATTCTGACTGCCTAAGCCAGTACTGCTCAGACAAGCTAACTGAGCCATCTGGGTCTGGGTCGGGGGCTGGACTAGCTGGAGGGGAGGGAGGTTAACCCACCAGTGCCAGGGAGCCTGGGCCCCACCTGCAGAAGCCAGATGTGCCCCCTGCCCAGGGGTGAGAGGACCTGTACTCCAGCCTCTCTGCCTCAGAGCCCCACATTCAGGGGTAGGAAAATGGACAGTGTGAGACCTGCAGCTCCATCAGGGGATTATAAGCAGACCCCTGCAGACTTGGGTTCAAGTCCCAGTTTGACTGCCTTGTGGCTGAGCGGCCTTAGGCAAGTGTCATTACATCCCTGAGCTTCATATCCACATCAGTACCTGCCTTGTAGGGCAGTTGGGACGGCAAAATGCTGGTGTGCATAACTGCCACACACACCACTCACCAGGGTGTGGACCCTCTGCCTCAGTGATCTATTTAGCAATGGATATTTCCCAAGTGCCTACTATGCACTGGGCCCGTGCTGGCACTTTTAACTCTTGTTGGCAACCTGATGAGATTCTAATCACCGTCCTCTGAGAGGCCATTGTCCCTCACCTCGGCAGCAGCAGAGTCTGGGCTCGCACATTCAGACCTGCCAGCTCACAAACCCTGGCCTCCCCCACAGGAGCTGTGCAGCCTCCAGTTAGCATTCACTGGGAGGAGAGGGGGTTCTAGGCAGTGGGCCCAGCTTGGGCAAAGGATGACAGACAGCATCAGAGCTGAGGTCTGTATTGCGTGAGCCAAGAAGGTAGGCATCTCAGGCAGCTTACCACCTCTGTGCCCTGGATGGAACTGGAGAGCTTCCAGGCCCCAGCCCAGAAGGTCTCTGCCTATCCAGTCACAGCATGTGATGCCAGCTTCCCCGCCCACACCTTTGCCTCTAGGCTGATAAGCACAGACAATTCCCTGGTAGTGGTATTTGCACAGTTCCTAATCAATTTAAGTAGCCACCCTGATTTGTGTGTTAACATGCAGGAGACAGGGCAATGTGCCAACCTATAGAGCCTGCCCTCAGCCTAACACTATCTCCCAAGAGGTTCCAGTACCCCTGACAAGCCCTGGAAACCAGTGGAAGCTGGAGCCTGTAAATGTGCCCAGTTAATAAACACAAATGATGCAATGCTGGGAAGCAAAATCAAGATAGGGGAATAGGCAGGGAAGAAGTCAGAGGTTAGGGAAGGCCTTTCTGGAAAAGTGACATTTATGTAGAGACCTGAAGGAGGTAAGGGAAGGGGCCAGGCATTCCAAGCAGACCTAACAGCAAGTGCAAAGACCCTGAGGCTGGTGTGTGCCTAGTGCATTAGGAAATAGAGTAGAGGCCAGTGTGGCTAGAGAAAATTGATCAAAGGAAAAGCAGTTGGTGGCAGCTCAGAGAAGCAGTGGGCGCAGATTATGTAGGGCCTGGACTTGGGTTTTTATCTATAGTCTGTGAGAAGCCATCTGTGAGTTTCCCACAGGAAGCTGACATCTCATGCTGCAGGGAGGAGGGATGGGGTCAGGGAAGACCAAGGAGGAGGCAATGATGGTGGCCCAGACCTGGGTAGGGCAGTCGCAGTGGTGAGAAGTCAGATTCTGGTGAGCTGTGCAAGGTGAGGTGCCAGAACATGCTGTCAGTTTGGCTGTGGAGTTGGGAGGCGGACTCTCAGGCTTTTGGTCTGAGTCATGGAAGGGATGAAGTTGCCATTAACAGAGGTGGGAAGAGGTTGGAGGAGCAGACCTGAAGGGAGACACTTGAGACACCTGCCTGAGAACCAAGGGGAGGTGTAGAACAGGAAATTGGAAATCCAAGTCTGGAGTCAGGGAAGGTGACCGGAGATAGATATCTGGGCATCCTCATGGTAGAGATGGTGTTTGAAGCTCAGCTGCTTGTGGAGTGGCCCACAAGCAGAGAAGAGGCCCAACGCGGCCTGGTGCTTCCCTGAGCAGGGGAGGAGAAAGAGCCAGAAGAGCCAGCCCAGGAGGTGGGCATGCGGGGAACCTGGAGGGGCTGCAGAGGCTGAGAGGAGAATGTGTCTCCAGAAGACTTGAGGTCAACTAGGAGCAGCCACTGAGCAGACCAGCAAGATGGGGCAGCAAGGGGACCGCTGAATTCGGTCACATAGAGGTCAGTAGCGACTTTGACAAGGACAGTGTTATCATGAATGAAGTGAGCCAATGAATGACCCTGGGAGTCCTGTGTACTGTGCCTGGGGAAAGTGGAGGAAAAGTGGCCTGTAAGTTGGTCCTGGAAGGAATGAGTAGGAGTCTCCTAGCAGACAGGCAGAGGGGAGGGTGTTCCAGGCAGGGGCGAGAGTGAGTGCAAAGGTTGGTGATGAGGTCAGAGGTCACATGGCGATGAAAGGTGGTAAAGATAGGATTCAGCCCTGGGACTGTAGAGACCAGCCCTCAGCACTGGTCACTTTTGTCTCAGCCGTTCTCGCTCTCCATACCAGGCCTTGAGGTGGGCAGAGGTCAGAAAGTCCCAGCTGGGTGACCTGTGGGGAAATAGAGGCCCTGGGGGCATTGGGGTTAGAGGGTGGAGGGCAGGGACTATCTCACACTCACTCAGTGAGTCAGGGTAGCCTGAAGTGAGTCATCCCCTGTCCACTGCCTGTCCCAGTGCCCTGCAGACAGGGCACTAACCAGGCCAAAGGCACCCCCAGGGTAAGCCAGCCACCAGCCTTGCAGTGGAGCTGAGACAAAGAAGCTTCTGTGATCCACCTCTGCCACCCCTGCCCCCATTAAAGCTGCCCAAGCAACAGGCCTGGAGGCCTGGGGTCACCACTTTAGAAACAGCCACCTGCAGTGGCTGGAGATCACATAGCCATTTCCTCCCCAAGGGCAGGAGAGGAGCCCTTCTCTCCAAAAACAATTCCTAATGTCCATCCAAAACATCCCTCCCAGTTCGGCAGTCCAAAAAGGCCAGGGGCTGGTCACTGGACAGCTGACAAGACTGAGTCTCAGCGAGGGAGTCATATTTAAGCTACGAACTATAGTTACATTTGGGGAGTGCTTACTGTGGCCCAGGGACCCTGCTGTGCACTTAACCTGCTTTACCCATTTTAGTATCTGATTGTAGTTCAGTAAAGTAAGTACTATAATATCCCCGTTCCCCAGACTTGAGCATGAAGGCTCAGCATTGTCGTGAACTGTCGTTGCGATGGTCTCTGGCCACACCAGCAGCCTTGACTACCTGAAGCACTCTGACCCTGGGCAGTCCTTCCCCTCTAAGTCTCATTTCCTCCTCTGGAAAGTTGGGATGTGTTGGGGCTCATCACTATGGATGGAAAGTGATATTCAAACAATAGACTTTGTTTTTCAGAACAGTTTTAGATTTACAGAAAATGAGCAGATAGTACGGAGAGTTCCCACATACCCCCTACCCCTAATTTCCCATTAACATCTTATATTGTATAGTATATTGTACATTTGTTGACAACCAGTGTACCAATATGGATACATTGTTATGAACTGAAGTCCATAGTTCATTCAGGTTTTCTTAGTTTTTAACCTAAATCCTTATTCTGTTCCCGGACCCACATCACGTTTGGTTGTCATGTCGCTTTAAGGCTGCTCTTGGCTCTGACAGTTTCCCAGACTCCTTGCTTTCAGGGGTCCTGACAGTGTTGAGAGTACTGGTGTTTCATAGGATGCCCCATACTGGAATTTGTCTGGTAGTTTTCTTAGACTGGGTTATGTGTTTTGGGGAGCAATAGCTCAGAGGTAGAGTACTGTTTTTTCATCACATCATAGCAAGGTTAGGTACTGCCAACATGACTTATCACCGTGTGGTTGACCTGGACCACCTAGCCCAGGTAGGTCAGGTTTCTCCACTATAAAGTTACCCTCCTGCCTGCTTCCTTACTGTTCACCCTTTGAAAGGATGAACTGGGCACAGCCCATGTTGAAGGTGTAGGGCTTTTGGCTCCCCAAGTATGTATTTTTACCTCCTCTGACATAGCACCTGGCAAACAGGAAGTGCTTCATAAATATTAACCTTATCATAAATACTGCTTCCCTAATGTTCATAATATCATTGTTCTCATCTATAAGGATTAAGTGCTTAGGATAATTAAGGAGATAAAAGATGTGCAACCAGCTTATGACCAGCGTTGTTACAGTTCAGGGATTAAAAGAGATAAAACATTTAAGGTGCTGGCACAGGAAGGAACCAGCCATTCAGGGGTCTTCAGGGAGGGTATGGGGTGCCAGGTACAGCAAGTGCAAAAGCCCTTGGCATCCTTTTCCCTAGTGTCCCCCCACTCCTCTGGCCCAGGTCCACCCTCCCAGCATTGTCACAGAGGAGCAGGACTGCCCGGCACCTATGCAGTGTCACCCGGTGACCTATCCTTTGCCTTCCACATGCCTGCCTGCCCTTCTCACCACGAGCTTGCAGGTGTCTGCAGGTAGCTGTATCTCCCCTGTCCCTTCATCCCTCCCATGTTTGGCATCTATTGGCTGAGTGCTCCAGGGCCTCTGGGAAGTCTCCATTCACAGCCTCCCCTTAACAGGGCCAGGCATCAGAACTGTAGGTTCACACTGGCCCACACACTCACTCTTGCCCCCTGTGCATGAGCCCTGCTGTCCAGGGAGGCATCTAGGGGCTTTTCTGCAGCCTCCGCAATGCTCCAAGGCCCTAGTTCCCTGTCATCAATTAGGTGAAGGTTCTAGCTGGACTCCGACATGGCCCAGCAGGGCCTCAGCAACCATTTTACACTGGGAAACCGAGTCCGGGAGGGGAAGGGAAACTGAGATCACATGACTCAGTGGACTACACATGACTCAGAACTGCATTCATTCCCTGCCACGTTTCACAACTACCCCCCACCCTGTCTCCTTGCCCCAACAGACAATGAGCTTAATGTCTGAATTTCAATCCCGATCTAACAGCTCTTAACCCTCAAGTGAGTGGACCCCTTCCAGTTCTGAACAAATTGGGAGCAAAGACAAGGAAAAGGCTGTTGGAGGCCCAATTATCATGTTTATAGTCAATAAAGCAGGGAATGGAGGTGGCTTATCTCTGCACCTAAGGTACGACCGGACAACAAACCCCAGAAGGATACATCTAACTAGTCACCCATAGCACTGGAGCAGAATGGGCTTCCCTATGTGGAGTGACTGGGAGTCAGAGGGAAGGGGACAGTCAGCTCCTAACGGGAAAGTTGGGCTGATCTGAGCATGCCCAGTTTATTCTCTCCAGATTCACCATGCAAATGAGTCCCTGCATCTCCCCTGGGACAGAGCGAGCAAAGGGACAGATCAAGGCCGGGAGTGTTACACCTGAGGCTCCATGCACAGGGAAGAAAGCTCAGGTAGAGAAGGGACACCATCCCCCATAACAAGTGAGTGAATGAGCAAGCATGTGAGTGAATGCGTGACTCCCTGATTTGGGGTGGCGGTGTGGGTAGGGATGGCCCTCTCTGTGTCCCCCTCACTCCCAGTTCACCCTCCTCTTGTCCACAGTTGCAGGGGCTCTCATTGCTGACTTCTTGTCTGGCCTGGTGCACTGGGGAGCTGACACTTGGGGCTCCGTGGAGCTGCCCATTGTGGGGAAGGTGCGTACAACACCCAGCCCTGCAGCCCAGCCAGTCTCCTCCAGAATGGAGCTGGCTCTCTAACCTCGGAGAGTCCCCTTTCCTCTCTGAGCCTGTTTCCCCTTCTGAAAGATGGGAACCATCATTCCAGCCTGACTCCCATGCCCCTCCTCCAAGATTAGAATAGAAATCTCATGGGATTTTTCTGGAAGCAGTCGACGTCAAGCGTAGGATAGTCAAAGACCTTTGAAAGCCCTGCATTTGGAGACCATGTCCACTCTCCTTTGCCTGCCCTTGCTACACCTCACTGTTTAATTGAACTGTTGTTATCTTGTATCAGATTTTTTGGTTGTGACACAAAATCCAACACAAACTTGCTTAGCCAAACAAAGGTACTGATTTGTGTAACTGAAAATTTCATGAGTGGAGCCAAATTAAACACGGCTGGGTCCAGCAGGAGAGATAGTCAGCCCACATTCTCCAGACTCAATCTCTCTACATGTCTCTGCTTTCCTGTCTGTCGGCTTCACCTTCATGCAGACTTCCCCTGTGAGTTGGATGTGGTGGCTCCCAGCCACCTTCATCCTCCCAGCTCACGCCCACTCTGCCTCCAGAAAGAAAACTCTCTTTTGCCATAGTTACAGGCAGTCCCATGGCTTACTCCCATTGGCCCAGCTTGGCTCACATGCCTATCCCTCAGCCAGTCACTGTAGCCAGAGGAACAGGATTCTCTGATTGGGCGGGCCAGGGTCAGTTAACCAGGGGCTAGAAGGGGAGGCTGTTACCAGAGGGAGGGGCTTGCACGCTGGGAGGAAAGATAAGAGCCCTGCCTGCCACTGTGCTGGGCTTCCTCCTCTGTCTTCGGGTGTGGAGGAAGGCGGAGATTGTCTCCAGGCCCCCTCAGAGCCCAGGAGGGGAGACTAAGGCCCAGAGGGGAGCAGTACCAGCTTTAGAACCCTGCCAGGTCATTGTGACCCATCTTCTGCTAGAGCTGCTAAACCTCGACCCTGAAGGCTGGGTGGGATCTGTATCGGTGGCATGGTGGAATATTCCGGCATCCCGCAGGCACGGAGGTGAGCCCCAGTGAGGTAAGTGCAGGAGGGTGTGGAGGATGGCCGACCGGTCAGATGTGTCTGCACCCCTGCCTCCACCCCAGGCTTTCATTCGGCCATTTCGGGAGCATCACATCGACCCCACGGCCATTACGCGGCACGACTTCATCGAGACCAATGGGGACAACTGCCTGGTGACACTGTTGCCTCTGCTAAACATGGCCTACAAGTTCCGCACCCAGAGCCCCGGTGAGCATGTCAGCTGACAGTGGGCCAACTGGGGACAGAGGCCCCTCAACGATGCCTTAACAAAATTTTAGGTAGTTATCTTGAGGTAGAATTGGGATATTTGAAGTAAAGATCCTTAGTTCCAGCTTTTCTTGAACACTCTGACCTGGCTACCCTGGGTCCTTGTTTCCCCTTTGCTTCACTAGGCAGATCCATGCTGCAGCCACCCCCTTTAGATGGATGCACGCTGTCCAGTTTGCCCCAGTTCCCACTACTCCCTGCTGTCTTATGCCTGGCCAACCTCGCTCCTCTGCATTACCTGCCTGGTCCTGAGGACCTCTGGTTTTGCTGCCCTGGCTTAGTGGAAAGAGTGTAGGCTGTGAATTCAGTGAGAGCTGAGTTCTGATCTCTGCCCTCCCTGTTTTGGGGAGAAACTTAACCCAAAGCAAGTCACTTCACCTTTCTGAGCCTCAGTTTCCTCAACTGCCAGGATGAGGGAAGGTAGGGATGGGTCAGTGACTCCTTCCTCTGTGCCAGGTCTTATTTGAATAGCTGGACACCTCGGGGATCCTTAGAGCAACCCCCTGGGGGTAGCCTGCTGAGTATCCGTGGTGCCCCACCCACATCCTCTTCCCAGGGCGCGCCCACATCCCTGGCTGCTCTGAGTGGTAGCTGCTGCCAGCTCCCAGCTGCCCCTTCTGGGAACTGCCAGAGCAGCTCTCTCCCTCCCCTGGGGATAAGCCTGAAGCCAGTGACAGGAAAAGCCTACAGAAGAGCAAACACGCACCTCTGAGTGGCACCAACTCTACAGAGCCATTCAGGTTCCCGAGCTCTGCCAGGTCAGGCTGAAGCAAGACTCCCCCAGCCCCATGTTTGCTTAGGTCTTCCCATGCCCTGTCCTGCTTCCCTCAATCCCTCAGGTGTTTTTCCAGAAGAGAGGATTCCCCCTGCCCTCCGTTCCATCCCACCCTCTGTGGGTAAATCACAGGCACGTGAATCCTTGTCACAGTCTCTGCCTCTAAGAAACCTGGACAAAGACTTCCATTTCATTGATGAGGAAGTTGAGACTCAGAGGCAAAGACACTGACCTAAGCCCATACAGCCAAGGAATGTCAGCAGGGATCCAAGCCCAGCTATGCCTGACTCCAGAGCCCATGTTCTTAAGTATTACTTAGACTTTCTCCATTATCTGCCCACTGAGCATATGAGGAGCCTGAGGCCATGTGGGAAGCTGGAAGGAGGCCTGGGTGGGATCCTGGGGTGAGAGCTGCCCAGGGCGAGTGGTGAGGGCCAGGCTGGTACCACAACCATGTGACAGCTGTGTGAGCCTTGTGGGCACCCCCTTCCCACCCTACAGAAGCCCTGGAGCAGCTGTATCCCTGGGAGTGCTTTGTCTTCTGCCTGACCATCTTCGGCACCTTCACCAACCAGATCCACAAGTGGTCACACACGTATTTTGGGTTGCCATGCTGGGTCACCCTCCTACAGGACTGGCATATCATCCTGCCTCGTAAACACCATCGCATCCACCATGTCTCACCCCACGAGACCTACTTCTGTATCACCACAGGTACAGCTACACGGCATAAAGTGGGCTGCTCCTGCTTCAGGGTTGGGAAGGGAGAGGTCACAGTGGGAGGTCATGCACTTCTTACCTTAAAGGAATGTTCTCTCAGAGCACATTTATTGAGCATCTACTATATGCCAGGCATTCTAGGTGCAGAGGACATAGAAATAAAGAAGACAGACAACCCAACCCTTCGCCCTCCAGCCCATTGTCACATGGAGCTGTGATTCCAACTACGCATCCAGCCAACAAATATTTATTGAGCACCTCCTATGGGCCAAGCACTGCTCCAGGCTTAGGACACACACTGAACAAAACAAAGATCCTTGCCTTCATAGTGTTTACATTCTAATAGAGGACATTCCAGACAATAAATAAATAAATAGTACATCTAACATGCAAACTGCTACACAGGAAAATAAAACGGGCTGGAAAAGGAAAAAAAGGGCTTTGCCCTTTAGACAGGGTGGTCAGTGAAGGCCTCATTGAGAAGGTGAAATCTGAACTGAGGGAGAAAGTCATGCAGACCTGGAGGAAGAACATGCCAGGCAGCAAGAATAGCGACTGCAAAGGCCCTGAGGCAGGAACATGCAAGACTGTTTTGGTTTTTTTGTTTTGTTTTGTTTTAAGGAGCAGCAAGGAGGTTAGTGTGGCCAGAGTGAAGGGTGTACAGAGCAGAATGACGGAGGGATGACAAAGTCCAGGTGTGAGAAATGCTATGGGGACAGCAAAGCAGGGTGAAGGGCAGAGAGTCATGGGGCGGGGAGGTGAGGAGTGGGGGAGTGGGAGTAACTGTTTGTATAAAGAGATCAGAATCCAAAAAAGTGTGGGAGAGGCCCTGTAAATAAAAAGGAACAGACCAGACCTGGCAAAGAGAACAGCAAGTACAAAGGCCCTGAGCCAGGAACATGCTTGGTGTGACCAAGAAACAGTAAGGAGGCCCACATGCCATGGGTAGTTAATGAGCCACTGCCACAGGTGAGGTGAGGAGATGCAAGGCAAGACAGGTGGTTTTCTGGGCCCAGCCAGGCATCTTTCAAGGTTAGTATATTGGTGCTGTCAAGTCAGACCAACTAGGATGCAGCTCTCAGCTCCCCCATGTGCCTTTAGGAGACTCACAAGCCTCCGTAAGTATAATTTTACTCATCCATAAAATGGGGCTGCAGCCACGTCCTTCACATCCCTCCTTCACAGGGTGGGCAAGTGGACGGCATAATGGCAGGTGCAAAGTGCTTGTCACGTCGTGGGTAGTCGCTAAGCTACAGCTGCTAGTTCTTGGGGTAGCTTTGGTTTGGTTTGGCTTTGGTTTTTGTCCTTCTGGAGGCAGAACTGAGAACCACAAAAAATATATCTTTTTTACACATCCTAAATCACTTTCTTTGAGGACAGGTGGAAGGGTTAGAATTTAGGCCGTTTAGGAGATTAGTCAACTGCTCAGCCAGGCCTGGAATCAGTTCCCAGTTTAGCCACCAATGAATTGGGAGACTTCCCTTCAAATCTTCTCATGTAGAAAATGTGACAAATAGTATCTACCTCATGGTTTGGATAGGAGGCTATACTACAGATAGAGTAAGACTGTGAGCAATATTTGTGGAGCACCTACTATGTGCCAGGACTATTCTAGGCACTGGGGATCGATAGTGAAAGAACATGGGGTCCTGCTGCTCAACACTAACATTCTAGTTGGGAAGGACCAACACAAAACAGAAGTGGTAAATTAATGAGAATGGTTACAGGTTATCACAGAGGCTGTAAAATAAAAGAAGGTGACGTGACAGGCTTGGAGCACTGCTTAGGCAGTACTCAGGAAAGGCTTCCTGGGAGATGAGTGATTAGAAATGAGGCCACCTGCCTGGCATATAGTAAGCACTCAGCAAGAAAGTGAATGAGTGAGTGGATGAAGGCATGTCTCAGCATCCCTTAAGCCCATTGGTAGGAGGCTCCATACCCATATTCCTTGGTCAGTCCTTGTCCCCTGACCTCTGCAGACTCACTCCCAGCTTCTCCTGCCTTGGGCAAGGCCAGGCCTCTCCCTCCATCCCCTCGACTGCTGCTCTCCCATCCAATCCATCCCACCATGCCCTGTTTCCACTACAGGCTGGCTCAATTACCCTCTGGAGAAGGTGGGCTTCTGGCGACGCCTTGAGGACCTCATCCAGGGCCTGACAGGCGAGAAACCTCGGGCAGATGACATGAAATGGGCCCAGAAGATCAAATAATTCCTCCGAGCCTGCCAGCTCATTGCCAACCTATCCCAGACCCCCAAACCGAAGCCATCTGCCAAATTCCAGCCTCCTCACACTGGCCCCTCCAGGTGGAGAGGACACCTCCTGGGCTAGGCCCAGGCACCCCCCAGCCCACCCCTCCTGACACAGAATACTTGAGCCACTAATTTTTCATTTTCTTTCCTTGGTCCTTCCAAGCCACCTGAGCTGCTCTGTCTGCCACTTCTGACTCTGCGGAAAAAGGAGCCTTGCCCTGCCAGCCATCCCTTGGGTAAAGGGAGAGAGTCCACCCACTCCCTGCACTCTTACCACCCCTAGCCCCTCTGGGCAGCCCTTCAGCATGGCTGGCGTTGGGCCCACTGAGTTGTCTTATCTGTCCCTCCTTGTCTGCCCACAGTGGTCCAGGAGCCCCCAGGCACACCTAATTATCCCTGGAGAATCTCCCTGCAAACTGACCCCTAAGTCTAGCCACCACCTTCAGACTAGCCTGTCCACCCAAGGATGGCAAAATACAGCAGGGGTCTGAGGGTAGCTGGCTGGCCAAACAGGCCAGAATTGCCTGCCTGTCTGGACCACGCCCCTCCCCATCTGCCCATGTGATTCCAGAGCTGCTGTTCCTAATCAGAGGATGTCTTGGCAGGGCACCGTCCCTGCAAAGGGTCTTGGTCATTTGGAAGGGGACACAGTGTCCCCTTTGGCCCAGGATGTCAGAGAGGGAAGAGTGGGGCTTTGTGTTTGATTTTTTTTTTTTAAGGTGCTTGCTTGTTTAATGTAAATAATAGAAAGCCTTAATATCTTTTCTGTAACATGGAATAATATTTTAATGTCACGTTTTGGATGTACATAATATATTTATAACAAAGCAGCAAGAGCCTACTTAACCTCGGCTGCCTCGTGTTTCCTGCTTGGCTGGGGGAGAGGCAGGGCAAGGATCCTGAAGGATGAGGCCCCACCTCTACCCTGTTCCCAGCCCTAGGCTTTGGATAGGGGCTTTGTCACCTAAGACAGTGAATTAATGTTGACATCTGCTCCAAACTCTCTTGAAGGGAATTTATGATTTGGTGAGGAATAGTCTTTGTGCAGGAGATCATGGTGATAGCACAATGAAGACTGATCCCTATTTGTGAATTTCTTCAGCAAATGTTATTGGCACCTGCTGGGTACCAGGCTCTGACCTGGACACGGCTCAGCAGTGAACAAACAAATGAGGACTTACCTGGTGGAATCGACCTCCTGGGAAGAGAGACAATAAACCTAAATAAATGCATATGGACATTCAGATGGTGATTTGTAAAGAAAATCTAACAGCATGGACCATGTTGGAAAAGCAGGATGGGGCTGCTTTGGCAGGGTGATCAGAGAGGGACACGTGAGGTGGTGGTTGAGCTGAGATCTAAAGGAAGAGATGGAGCCTGCTGAGAAAGAATAGGGGAAAGATGCCTCCTAACTGGACAGCAAGTGTGGGGTTTTTAAGAGACTGTATCTGGACTGAAGTGAGCAAGGGGAAGTGAAAGATGAGGTTGGAAAAACAGGGACTTGTTACATAGAGTCTCACAGGCTGAGAGAAATGGGGAGTCACTGGACACTTTAGACAAATGAGTATCATTCATTTACTCATTAAATAAATACAAGGTACCTCCTGTGCACCAAGCACTAAGATTCAGTAGTGAACACTATAGATACTACAATCAATATCCATTCTGGGCTAGATAGTTACTACTATATTAGCCAGAAAAAAAAAAGTCTATTGGGGACAGAGAAATAATAAAAGACTCCTTAGAGCAGTCACAGATAAAAGTATTTTTTTAATGGGACCAATAACTATTTTCCTTAAAGTTTGCCCACCACTAGACTTTTAATTTGTGACTATCTTTGAGGAGAGGGTATTAGAATTAATCAACTCATATGTGGCAGAAAACTATAACAAGCACAAATTCATAGCTAAAATAATTTTGTTAGCTCTTATCACTGCAAAGTTCAGAGGTGGTTCTAACTTAAGGTGAGGAGACAGGTGGCAAGTGAGAAGTGTGTCCCCCCCGAGAGAACAGGAACACAGCAAGATGAGAAACAGTAGCTGATCCCAAGGACTGGGATGCACTGGAGACATCCAGCCCAAAAGGCAGCTGCTACTCACGTCAGCTTAGATGAAAGACAAGCCAGAAAATCCAGATTTTTAAATGCTAACTCCATTTTTTAAACATGGACTGGACAAAACAAAACAAATATATGGGCTGACTTCTGCTGTCAACTTCCCAGCTGGTGCAGGGGTGGCCCAGTGTTTGGTGGATTTGTGCTGCTATCTGGTGGTGGAACATGGCAGTGGCAGTGTGGGACAGACAGGTGGGTTTCCGGCTTGACTGGAAATGTTATGCATCCACCCTGCTTGCTTCTCCTTAGAGGAGGTCTGGGCAGGGCACCTATTCCAACTTTAACCCCAGCCTCTATTGATAAACTGAAAAATTTCACTACCCTTTTAAACATTATTTTGTAATAGGTAATGCATGTAAGATAAGGAATATAAATACAGAAAGGTCTAGAGCAGGGGTCAGCTGACTACAGCCAGTGAGTCAAATCCAGCCCACCTGTTTTTCTATGGCCCAATGAGCATTTTGTTAAATGGTTGGGGGAAAAAAGAATATTCTCTAACACCTGAAATTCAAATTTCGATGTTGGTTGTAAAGTTTTATTGGCACACAGTTATACCCATTCATTCATATATTGTCTATGGCTGCTTTTTCAATATAGCAACAGAGCTGAGAGACCGCATGGCCCACAAAGCCTAAAATATTTATTATCTGGCTCTTTACAGAAAAAAACGTACCAACTCCTGGTGTAGAATGAAGAGTAAATTGTTGCCAACTCAGGTTCCCCTGAGCCTTCAGTTCTTCTCCCCAGAGGCCATCATTTTAACAAGACCCTTGCAAGTCCCGTATATGGGCATAGAGGTATGTCTGTCCCCACTTTTCATACAATAGTTAGAATATTGTATACACAGTTCTGCAACTTGCCTTTGTCACTCGATATATTTTGGAGTCAGGGTTATTTCAATGCTGATTTTTTACATCTGTAGCATTCCAACTTCAAGATGGCCCCTTTTTTTTAACTTGTCTCTTGTTTTCATTCTTAATACAGACTTTATTCTTTGCTCATAAGGGCCAATAGACATGACGGGTCAATTTCTAGGAATCAAATTATTGGGTCAAGGGAGTTTGTGTGTTAATACTTTGTGCCCATTTAAAGCTTCACAACTTTTGAGAGAACCAGTTTCCCCAAATCCTTGTCAACACATTGTCTTATCTAGTGTTTTGTCCTTTGCCAATCTGATAGGTAGTTTTAATTTGCATTTCTTTAACTGTCATTTATTGAATCTAAGATACCATTGATTGTAAGATGCATCCTCATTTCAGAGATGTTTGAACATAAAAATTTGCATCTTAGAATCACTGAAATACAATATGTTAAATGAGATTGGGTATATTACTCCATTTCCTTACTGCAATTGCTTATTGTGGATATGTCCTTTTCCTATTTTTCTTGGGAGACAGGGCAGTAGTGGTTAAGAGCTTAGTGTTCAAATCCCAGCTCTGCTACTTAAAAGCTTGTGACTTTGGGCAAGTTAACCTTTCTGTGTCTGTTGCCTCATCTCTAAGATGGGATAATGTACCTACCTCAGAGTGTAGTTGTGAAGATTAAATTTATACAAAACACTATGTTCCTGGGACATAGTAAATGTTGCATAAATGTTTGCTATAATTATCATCTTTCTTTTGGGTTGTTTTTCTTTTTTTCTTAATGAGTTGCAAGAACTCTTTATACATTAAGGAAACTCATCCATTTTATTCACAACCCCACCCCCACCCCCACCCCAGACCCCTAGTTTTGATTTTTTTCCCTGACCACAAAAGTAACAGATGATATGAAATTCAGACATCACAGAAATAAATTGTATAGAAAGAACCCAGTGGAAACAACCCAGATGTCCATGAAGAGAAGACTGAGTAAATGACTTGTACTATGACCCCCTACGCACCCACTCCCGTCCCTTTTTGGTTGTGTATTTTAGCAGCTACATCAAACATTAAATATACCATGCTTCACAGCCCAGGGGTCATACTCCATGAATGTGCCATGAAATGCCACAAGCAAATGTGTCTCACACACCCCATCAACCACAGACCCCTCCCTCAGGATTCTACTCTGTCTTCTGGGTGCCCTTGACTCTTTCTGTCAATAGTTGGTTAGCTTTACTTTCTCTAATGTATATTATAAAAGGGATAGCATGAGATTGGGGTTTTTTCTTAACTATAAATTAGAAATAGAAACATTAAATTATGTAATGTTACCTACAACCTTGTTACTCAGAGTGTAGTCTGGGGAGCAGCACCGGCATCCCCCTAGGGCTTGTGAGAAATGCAGTGTCAGTACACACACACACAGTCAGCATTTTAGCAAGATTCCTGGTGGTCTGTGTGCACATAAGAGTTTGAAAACTATTGATCTAAAAATAATATTGTAGGTTTTATAAAGTATATTGCGTTTTTTACATTCTGAATATACTTCTTCGAACTATTCATGTCTTTCACATCTTGAGAGTCTAAAACTGCTGCATGTTTTCCCACCTTTTTGAGAACAGTTTTTAAATAAACACTGTGGAACAGTCCCCTCCTATATGACTCTTGACTGGAACACTGTGCCATCTTCCAGTATCTATTAGGTATTAGGTATGGTATTGGCTGAGATAACAAAAACTTAGCTTCAAGTGCAGCTTAAGCAATAAAGAGGGTTATCTTGTGTCTTCAGAAGCCTCTAGCTAACAGCCCCGGGATTCCTTCAGCAGCTCAGCCACATAATCCAGGTCCTAGCTCTTGCCATCTTTCTGCGCTAACATCCTTAGCATATCAGCTTTTTGGCCTCAGGCTTTTGCCTAATGGTTTCATTATCATTGCCACAGCTCCAACCATCACAACCTCACATTACAGAAGGAGGAAAGGGGACAAAAAAGGCTTTCTTATCAGCTATTAACACGGGAGGAAAACTTTCCAAACATGCTGCTTCCTCAACTCATTGACCAGAAAGAACTACGTCATAGGCTCACCGCTAGACGAATCACTGGCAAAAGGAAATGGTAGGGCCAATGATCGGCTTGGATTCGCACCTGGAGCTGGACCTTCCGCCTCCTAAACAAAATCAGCTGCTGCGAGCACAGGACAGGGTGACTGGACTGGCGGTGAACAGTATCCAACACAATTCCTCTCTGAACACCCACCTCCAATCTTTCTGCCGCCAAATTCAATCTCTTCAGAGGCAGCCAGGCTACACTTTGCAAAAATGCAAACTCATGCACGATTTGTTCAAAACCTCCCAGGCAATAATACCTCCCCCTCACCACAGAGGAAACAGTACATGCTCCAGGGTTAGGAGAACTGGATTCCAAACCTGATTTGTTGTGTGACCCTGGGAAAGCATTCTGACACCCCGAAGCTTCAGTTTCCTCATCTGACAAACGAAGGTAATAGCTTGGCAAGGGTCATTGAGGATTTAATAGTAACAATAACAATAATGATAGCAGCCAGTACTTAAAACAGCACTCGCTCAGTGCCAAGCCCTTTTCTAAATTCTTTGGTTCTATGAAGCATTTAAATCTTCCCAACAATCTCATGAAACAGGACTCTCGTCCGCATTAGCTAAAGTTGCCGGCTCCAGCGCAAGCGGGCATTCCTCCGGGGACTGGCAATGACCTCGGTGGACGGGAGCTTGAGCGCGGGGAGGACTACAACTCCCAGCAAGCTCCGCGACGCCGCTGAACTGTAATAATCAGCACGCCCCGATGAACTGTAATAATCGGCATGCCCCGGGACATCCGTTTAACCTCTTCTTCCTGCGAGGCGCTCTGCGCAGCAATTTGCTCTATTGTCAATTTTGCTTGCTAGAAATTCCCTGCAAGAACCAAGTAATGTGTACGAGTAAACATTTATAAGGATCATGGATAAGAGGCTTGGGACCTAATTCTCATCCCTCCACCTGTTAGCTCTGAGTCTGTTTTCTCATCTCTAAAATGGGGATACTCCTAGGATTTGCCACATGGAATTGTGAGAATTAAAAGCTGGATGTGACGACTTGGTAAATGTCAGCTCTTCTAATCATTCTCCCCTTCTTCCTCTGCCAAAAGATTTTATCAGAACATTTTACCACAACAATTCTACCAGCCCTCTTTTCAGAAAGGGAAACTGATGCCAGGAGAGGTTCAAAACTCTTGCCTGAAGTCACACAGCAAAGTGAATGAGGAAGGGCTCAAACCCAGAAAATTTCACTCCAGAGGTGAAAAGGGACCCACAAAGGCCCTTGCGGCGGGACCAGGGCCACCTCAGGAGCCCAAATGCCTCCCACTTGCTACCTAATACTTTACAGTGACCCAAAGTCCAGGGCAAATTCTTTCTGTGCTTGCTCTTCACGGTGAACCTGAATCACATGATATGCAGACTAATACCAAGATGATTGCCTGTTGCCAGGGCTGAAAAGGAGACACATGGCACTTTGAGAGTCAGTTGTACCTCTATGTGACCTCATTGGAGAAATAAGGAAAAGCTTCCCTGAGGGCGTGATGCTGGATCTGAGACTGAAGAGTGGAACCAGTACAGGCAAAAGCCCTGAGGAGGGAAAAGGCATGTGCTACAGAGGCCTTAAAAATGGCCAGTGAACCGGGAGCAGAGGAAGTTTCAGAGGTAGTGCCAGGAAGGGGGTAAGTAAGGCACCCAGGGTGCAAATTTTAGGGAAGCACTCACTTCCAGGGTCATGCAAGTAGAGCTGGGACCTGAGAGTGAAAACTTCCTTAAATTTGGTGCACTAGACAACTCACTTGCCTCACCCTTGTCCTGGCCCTGGACACAGGCAGGGCCTTGTGAAAAGGGTACCCATTCCATGGTTTGCCCTGGAGAGTCTGGCTTCTGCTTGTTTCAGCAAGATTATATCAGGTCCCCATTCAGTCTGATGATTGTCTCTGTTATATAATTCTATGGTCACTCAGCTTATAAAGTCTGTATTTTGTCCCAAAGGAATGGTGAGTCACTGATTTAGCTGAAGGGTATTTAGAGACGACTCTGGCTGCCATACAGAGAATAGGCCATGGCACCAAGAATGAAGGCTGCTGGGGTCATCCAACAGGAGACTGGGCAGCCTACCCTAAGTCAGAGAAGTAAACAGAGTTGAGAAATGCTTAGGAGACATTACTATCAGAACAAGATGATGAATTGGATGTGCTGGGTGAGAGTTTCCACTTCCTTGTTCCTCTGTACTGAAAATCCTGGTCCTTCCTCAGCCAGTGTTTAGCTGTTACCTGGAGGCAGTCCCTTCATCTCTCTCAGCCTATTTCCACACCCAAGTATGGACTTCTCAGACCTTTATGATAAAGCAGGAATCCTTCTGGAATTTAACATTTATTTGTAAACAGGTGTCCCCAGGGCCTTTTCACATGTTCCCGCCACCTCCCTCTCATCATTTAGGTCTCCCTTGAAATGTGACCACCTTAGGAGGTGCTTCCTGGCTACCCCCCTGCAATCCCTTTCCTGGTTTACTCTCTATCCTCTCATAGTTATGTTCTTTCCTATTTACTTGTTTACTTGCTCTGTCTCCGACTAGAATGTAAGCCCATTAAGAGCAGAGACTTACCTCAGGGATATACTTGTATATCCACCCCTAGCACCCAGCACAGCCCCTGGCACAAAGTAGGTGCTTGGTAAATATTTGTTTGGATGAATAAATGGATTGATGAGTGAGAAAGTGAATGAGTGAATGCTTTTCCTGACACTTCAATGTCCCCAAATCATTTAGCTGCCCCATACAATCCTCCTCTGGCCAGGCACCATCGACCTTGGAAGCAAGACGATGTGCCCTGGGTTCAAATACTGACTCAGCCACTTAAACATATGAGTTCAGATAAACTGCTCAATCTCTTTCATCTTCATTTTTCACATTAATCCCGACCTAGTCAAATGCTGTTGACGATCCCACTTCCAGGAAAATGCCAGAAGCGAAATGGGCGCTTTTTTAAAGCTATCTCCTCTTCTTTTTCTTTCACAAATCCCGTCCTCCCAAGTCTATCACCTTGCCCTGCTCCCCAAACACCTCTGTACCTCCCTCGCACCCGAGCGCGTAAGGACTTGCAGGTTGCTGGGCCTCGCACACGCAAATATAGCCTCTCCAAGCGAGCAGAAAATACACCTTCCCGGTACTGGTGGTGCCGCCCGCCGACCGGGCGTCAGCGGTGGCATCTGCGCCTGCGCGTACGCCTGCGCATAAGGACCCGAGGAACCGAGTCGGGGGGTAAAGAAGGGGCCGGCCTTCGAGCGACAGCGACGCAAGATGGCAGCCACCACGGGCTCGGGTGAGCGGGGGCGCCGGGCCCGGCTGGCCGAGGGAGTGCGGGCTCGGGCTGGGGTCCGGGGACCCGCGAAGGCTCTTGCAGCGGGACCAGGGCCTCTGCTGCCTCCGTCCGCTGGGCTCCGCGGCGGCGATCCCGGTGGCCTGAAGGGGGAGGAGGAGCAGGCGGTGGCCGGAAGCACGGGCGGGGGCCTAAGGGGCCTGTGGGCGGCGCGGCGAGGCTCCCCCGGGCGGCGTGAGGGCCCTGCTGAGAGGAAGAGCCGGGCCCGACCGCACTGCGAGCAGCCGGAGCGGGCTAGGGGCCAGCCCCATGCACTCCTGAGGAGACCGGGGCTGGCCACTCTTTGGAGGAGATCGAGGGGTCTCCTAGAGAAAAAGGTGCC